GTGGCAGCACACGAAGTTACGGTTGGTCCGCTCTGGTGTAGGGTGTTTCCCCTGATCTCTACGACAATTGCTGGATCGCGCTTCCCCGCTCCTCAAGCGCGGCCACCGGACGGCCATCTTGCATGCAGGCGAAATCATGTTTATGGAGCGTTGCAGAGGCTGGCGCGCAGCGTGCCGAAGTCACCTTTTCTACTCGTTCGTCGTCATTCGCCGAAGAATTGTTATTAATCACTGTGTAAACGGTGAAGCTTGGGGTTGAAAACACGTGGAAATTTTACGAAAGTGTAGTGCCGCAGGTCACGCACGTCGGCCACGGAGTTCAGGATCGTTCAGCTGTTTCAGCGAGTTGCTATCAATAGAAGGGGAAAAATTTATACGGTTGCTATTATGCACTATTAACTATGCCTATGTTACAAATATACTTTAATGGATAACATGAAAAAACAAATAGAGTAACGCTGTGGAGCAAGGAAGGTTTTCAAAAGCAAAGGTAACAAACACCCCCCCCCCCCCCCCCCCCCCCCCCCCCGGCTGCCTTCCCCTTCCCTGTTCCGTCGCCACTGGGTCAAGCCCATGACGCTCGTTTCTGGACCGCGGGTTTCGCAAGTTTCAAATACAGTAGTCAGAGTAAAGTAAGACGCTGATCCCGAGGCACATACGGCTTCACGCACATTGCTCTCGCAAAACAGGTCCACACGGCGTCGATTCTTGATCGGTATCCAAGCGTGCGAGAGCACAGAGACGCAGCACTTCTGTGTGCCAGGGAAGCTTTGATCACGCCGCGAGAACGGGGAGACTTGCTTTCGACGAGCTGTGCCTTTTTCCTGCGGCGCTGCGCTTTCGTCAAAATGTCCGCGTGTTCTCAACGGCAAGTATCACAGTTTTCACGGGGGTTTAAAGAAAACTCTTCGACGATTGACGACGAATGTGCGGAAAACGTGTCTTCAGCACGATGCCTGCCAGCCTCTGCAACGCTGCAAAAACACGATTCCGCTGCATGGAAGATGGCCGTCCGGCGGCCGCAGTCGCGCTGGAGCGACCAAGCGGGGATGCGCGATCTAACAAATTTTCCTAGAGATCAGTGAGTGTTTCGCTCGCGTGCTGGCAGCTTGAGGTCACGTGGGGCTGCCCAAGCACCATCAAAAGCAGGCGCTTCGCTCATACCCTTATTCTACGGACTTTTTTTTTTCTCTGGTATTTTTTATTTGTGTGTTAAAGTAAATAGTAAAGAACGCAATTAGTAGTTTTTCATTTTAATTTTCATTACCTGCGTGAGGCAATTTCAGGCAGTTCCTTGTTGTTGTTTTTTTTTGTTTGTTGCTTTTTGTCGTTCCGATATTATTCGCCTCCCCACTTTTTTTTTTCTCCACCTTTTTTCTTGAATGAAAACGGGAATGATGGCTTTAGGAAGGGGATAAGCATCCCTCTTTTCCCGTCGCGCTTCATAAAGAAGCCTGCGGCTTACTTTTTCTTTATCATTTTTTGTTTCTCTCAGCCCCGTCTGGTTCCCCGTTTCGAAATCGCTGATTCATGCCCTGTCCCCTACCCAAGGTGTTGGTGTCCCTGCCGCGTTCCCCCTCGCTGGGCGTGGGGTCGGCCGTAGTGCCCCTCGTATTTATTTTTATTTATTCATTTTCGAAGGGGGAGCGGGTCGGGAGAGAGAGAGAGAGAGAGCTTCACGCGGCTGTGAAACGCTGCATAGATGCCGTCTTCTGAACCGATCAGCAGGGCAGACTTCTTCTGCTTGTTTTTGTTTTCGCTTTTAGCTTGTAAGTAACTAGAGTACAAAGAGATAAACGTGCTGGTACGAGTCTGCGGTACGTTCGTGACCGTCTGCTTCGGTGCTAGAGGATCTGGATATGTGACAGTTTGGTTTAATATTTGGACGAACAACACGAAACGGGTTCGCGAAGCGCTGCACGTAGGAGCCGCTGTCTGGAAAACGTGTCGAATTTTTAAAGCCCGAGTCGCACTAGAGTCACTGGATCTTGCGAGAGTAGCGCGACGCTCACCGAGCAAGGTCGCCATTTTGGTTCATGGAGTGGGCGGTTTCTCTTTGGCCTCTTCGATCTTGCTGAGCCGATCCGAATTCCCGGTGACAGGTTGCTCTTTTATAAAGACGTTTCTTGTATGCCGAGAGTTTGCTATCCACACACGAACACATCTTTGCTTCGCCACCATTTGCGGCGTCGGTGCTTGGTGGCGTTAAAAATAATTTTAATTTCTCGAAATACGCAAGAACATAACAATAGCATTATAAGAGACGCGTGAAAATGATCATAATTTATAAGTTGATTCATAGCCTCCTCTATACTCACAAAGCCTGGCAGTTCGACGACGGAGTCACAGAGTGCCCGGTCGCAGATTTGGATCGCGAGGATCTGGTAGCACAGAGCATTTCTCGGAGAACCTGTAGTCAGCGCACAACTTTTGCAGTGGCGAGGACTCGAAACATGGTTTCCAATCCCGACGAGAAAAGAAGCGGTGGTGCGAGGAACGCGAGGATCACGAGCGGACATTCCATCGCTCGGGAGAGGTGTGTTTCGGCGTCTCGCCGCAGCGGGGCGCCCGCCACGTTGCTCTCCATGACATGGGATGGGCGTCATTTGAGAGCAGGGAAGCTGTGAGCAAGATAGATTTTGAGGATCGGTTGAAGCAAATGGATGGGGAGCAATGGGCACGAAAGGCTTTAAGCTATTTATACATGAGGAGTATAGACACAAAGTGGAGACAGCGCACTAGGAAACTAGGAGGAAAGTTTTTAGGCTATAGTGGAGTTACGGAAGAGCAGGTCTCAGTTAAGAAGAAAGTTAAGGCCACAGAAAGAGATCGGTGGCTAGAGGGAATGCAGACAAAGACGGCTCTGGAAAACTATAAATTAAACAAAAGAGTTATTGTCAAAGGAAGCATTTATGACAATTCTAGGGGAAGCTCATTGCTGTTTGAGGCGAGGACGGGTGTTCTGCGAACGAGAACATACAGAGTGAAGTACCAGGAAATTGAGTGTGCACTGCTTGTGGAGAGGAGGACGAGACGGCTGAGCACTTGATACTCTACTGTAAAGGGCTTCACCCTATGCCTACCGAAGACAACATAGATTTTGATAAAGTCATTGGGTTTTAGAGACAGCGAAGGAAGAGTGGATTTCAACGCAGTAGAGATTGCCAAACAAAGATTAAGTGAATGGTGGCAGAAAGCGAGAGAAAACTAGGCATTTTCTTATTAACTGATGGCAAGGGGGTTTTATAGCCGCACTTTGCAGTGCGCAGTGAATATATTTTTCACATTTAAACATTCTAAGCTTGAATGGTAAAACAAAATGGCTAGGTGGCGTAAGCTACCACCCGATCTCAGGGGCTCAGCCGGATTTATCCATCCATCCATCCATTCTCATCCGTCGTCTGCCGTACTACCTTTACACTGTCGGCGGCCGCGTCTCGCGTCGGTCAGCCAGGCTTTGCCAGTATAGAGGAGGATATATGGTTGATTGGACACACAGCGCCAAAGACGCTTATGTTTGGGAGGAGCGCTTTCATCAGTACGATGAAACTTCACGGCGATCTTGGCGCGATTGGTTCAGAACGACCTTTTCGAAGCCTAAGGGTCTGAAAGGACCGAAATGGCGATTGCCATGGCGACACTACAGAAACCGATCAGCCAATCACCCTGCGAGGTTTCGGTCGTCTGCATGTTAGTATCTGTTTGTGTCCGACTAGCGGGCAGGAAAGGCATTGGCACTACTTTCCCAGGATACAGTGGCAAGCCCCAGTAGAGGGCGGCAAACAGAACCAGCCGACACCGACAATCCTCAAACACGAGCATCATGCACGCGAGCGTATCTTTGGCATGCCTGTAATCAGTCTACCAGGTACGACATCACGTTGCTAGAAAACATGCGAGTAACGGCCCGACATGAGCGTTTTGTCAGCCGAGAACCGCCTTCCAAAACGAAGAACCGTGTGCAGCGGATCTACTATAAACCGGATGGATGGATGGCTACGACTTGAATGTTTGAATCAGGAGGTGGGTTGCGCCAACTATAACCATGGTTTTACATTTTAGCCTCTCCGCGATCGGAGTCCGAAAATACATTGAGGTCAATGGCGTCTATTAGCGGCAAAAAGGAGCCTCATTTATTAGTTGAAAAATTCAGAAAGTTGGTTAGTGCCTTCTGAATCGGATGACGGTACATTCCGAAACTTTTGCGTCCTGTCCCAACGGCTAGCGCTGGGTACAGTTTATTTTTGTTGGGAGACGAAAAACGGCGGTTCTTTCTTCCTATCAAACATCCGATACAAAGAAAAAATAATAATTAGTTGGTGCCGGCTTGTCTTTCGAAGCTCCGTAGTGAACAGCCAGGGTTCGAGCTCCTCTCCTATAATCACCGTCGGGAGGGAAGCTCTAGGGCGGTCTTTCAGTTGTTCGGCCTCAGGCGCGAGCTCGCCATCTTCGCTAACGATTTGGGCGTCTCGCGAGCTTCGAGCGTGCACGCGCAGCCAAAGCACGACGGAAAACGACGGGCGCACGCTAGAAGCTGGCAGTCCGAAAGAGACACCTTGCCTTCCTCGCTGCAGGGACTAGAAAGTGTTGGCAGATCTCTCTATCGATACCTCTATCGATACCTCCAATAAAGAGTTTTAGCGAACCGTTTTTTTTTTTTTTGCACATTTGATACGCTAGGCTGGGTCCTCCGGTACGCGCAGTTTGTACCGGAGGGCCTATCGTATTGTATCGGATGTGCAAAACCGATTCCCTAAAACTCTCGTATGATAACGATTCCCGATAACGATATGATGCACGTGCAAAGGCGGCCGCGGTGTGTCGGGTTCCGTTATCATAACTGTCTACTAAAACTCTCTACGAAGGAAGCTCCCTTTGACTGAGCCCGAGCTCGTGCTTAAGCTCCGCTGTGAGCGCCAGTCTCTGAGCTGACAGGGTTCGAACTGCCCTTTTATCAGCGCGTCCCCACCGAAACCCTCACGCGTCGTCCGTTCCCGCAGGGTGAAGCTGGAACCGCGCAGCTCGGACGACGACGACGAAGACGACGACGACGACACCTCGAGCAGCAGCAGCAGCTGCTCGGCATCGGCGAGCAACGACGACTCGGGTTGGCGCGGAGCCCGGGGTGCCCGACTGCCCCACGCGGGTGCCCCGACCACGGCGGCGACGTCCTCCGCGACGCGTGGGTCGGCGAGCGGTGGTCCCCGGAAGGCGCTGAACAGGGGCCGCTGGGGCAAGGACGAGGACGACCGGCTCAAGAGGAGCGTCCAGCTGCACGGCACCCAGGACTGGGCGACGGTGGCGCTCTGCTTTCCCGACCGCAGCGACGTCCAGTGCCAGCAGCGCTGGCACAAGGTGGTCAACCCGGACCTCGTCAAGGGCTCCTGGTCCAAGGAGGTGAGCGCGGCTTTCCAAAGCATTTCTGGGCGCCACCGAACCGTGGGGTCGTGTACGCGTCCGTCCTTCGCGGCTCCAGAGTTAAATTTAGCGGGTGAAACTTGAATTGGTGTGTAGTAAAGCACCAATTCGATTTTCCCGCTAAATCTAGCGGGAAGATCGAAATCGGTGTGTACGGAGAGCTCAGCGAGTTCGACGTATGCTCTCGCCTACTTCTTTCCCTCCATAGAACGGCCACCCATGGCGAAGAAATAAAAGGGAGAAAATACGTGGTGGGCGATCTTTAGGGGTGGGCGTTTGTTCGGCATTTTACAATTTTGACCAATTCAATAGGACTTTTGCTAAATTATCCAAGCGTCAGAAATAACGCTGGGAACGTAAGTACATGCGCTCCACGCGTTCACCTTATGTGTACTAAATAGTTGAAGAAACGACCAAATCGAGGCGTTAATGAACGCGCGTGCGAAGCGCCATTTGTTTTGTATCTTTATTTCAGACAAGCTTCTGCTGCAGAAGACAGTACGTGCAGCGCATGTAACTACAGCCGCGCACGCTCCTTGAGCTTGGGTAATTTAGCAGAAAGTCAAGTTCGTCTGCTTCTCTTGCTGGGGTTGTGGTGACGTCAGAACGCCGATCTTTGATTGGCGGTGTTTAAAGGATAGTGGGTGGACCTCAAGGCAGCTTGCTACGAGGTCTATCCACTCTCCCTCCATCAGAGCCAATCAGAGGTCGGCGTCTTTGTGACGTCACCCAAACCCCGGCAAACGAAGCAGACGAATTTCCCTGACCACCCACATTTAGCGGGGTAGTCAAGCATAAAAAAGTTCCATCTCACGTGTAAAGAATTAGTATCTCACTCCCCTAATTAAATGCAAGATAAAAAAGAAAAAAAGATGGCTGTTTGCACAGTTTGAAATTTACTTACCTTACTTTTTGCGATGACCTAATTTTCGCGAATTTCACGACCGAAATTGCGAACAATTCATCCCGCGAACGGTAACAACTTGCCTAGCATTTCACTATAGACCTTTTCCGCTTACTCTCGCCCCCGACCGCCATTTAGGCATATCCGGTATGGGCGACGAAAAAATATCAAAACGTTTCAAACTGCAGACAGTAAATAAATAGAGGGGAAGTAAAACGAGAAGGTGTGACGGTTACGTTTATGTCCTAAATGCCTTCTAATGTCGTGGTGACGGAAGAACAATGTTTTCGCCCATACTGGAAGTGTCGACAATTCAAGATGGCGGCGCCCTTGCGAAGAAGGTCTATACCAACGTTACTAAAACACTCAGTTGGGAAACTCGCCGTCGAAACCTGGGCCGCTGGCGTCCACCGAGACCGAGCTAAATGCGACAACAGCGCCACTCTTTATCATTTGTCTGTACTGTGGTCACCTTGAGCTTTTTGAAAGCCTGTTTTTGCGTATAAACAAACGAAAAAGACTCTTTTTGCATGAAATTTATTGGAGTTTAGTACCAAAAGAGGGGCGCGTTATGTTTTTAAAATCTTTAGTTTGCAGGGTTTTGCGGCACAATTAATATTGTTTTTATACAACCATGCCTCAGCGGGCCTTTCAGGTAGCACGTCCCGCCCTAGGTGCATTTTAACTTCAGCAGCTCAAAGTGGCGCGTCCGCCGGGGAGACAGGGGTGGCACCCCTGTAACCTCTACCGCTATATCTGTTCTTGACGCCAAAATAGAAGTCACGTGCAGTTCCTCGAGTGGCCGCTGCGGGAGAAATGGTGTCGTTGTGTTCGTCATTAGCTCGGTGCTCGGTGACAGTTTGGGGCCACTTTTTCAAAGCTGTCTCTATGGGAGTTTCCCAACTGAGTGTTTTAGTAACGTTGGTCTATACGTAGCGAAAATTTGTGCCCTCTAATTTATTGCCTGAAACTCGCACTTCGTGAAAATAGGGAAATATTGAGCCCGCGAAAGTAAAGTCGTGTACAGTATTCGCTGCGCTCGTCGTCAGCAGAACTTGCACAGACGCATCGTCTCCACGCTGTGAGCAGAGAGATATCCCAGCGTGAGTTGACGGGAAGTTGTCTAGTACCGGAAGTCGGAACAATATGGCGCGTTCAGGTGTGCCTCGATCCAAAATCCAACGGGAGCACACCCTCCCCACTCGGGATTCGGGAGCGCAGCGGGACAGCTTCCATCTCTGGGGAGGTTGCCCCTAACAGCGCATGGCCAGACTCCCCCCCCCCCCCCCCCCCCCCCCCTTCGCGCATGCGCACAAGGCCTCGTCGCGACTGGCTACGTGTCTGCGTTCTTTATGGACATCGCGTAGTTGAGAGGAACGTTTTGTTATAGGACATATCTTTTTAGCTAATTGGAAAGCTCTTGTCGCTAAAAGATTTTTTTTTTCCTTCGTGTAGTGACGCGAAGCATGCTCGATCACGTCATTTTTAACTAGCGCGAAAAGTCCTTTTGTGCACGGGGGTATATAACGGGGGGTGTTACTCATCAAAATAATGGTAACGCCCCGTTCCTCCCGGAGAATACAAGACGAGTATTCAAGTGCAGGGGCCCTTGCATTTTTCGAAAATCGCCTTCTGCACTCTGACATTTTTGTTTTTTATGGCAAACGACACCAGGTGGTGTTCCAGTCTTTGGCGTTCTAGAGTAACTCTGCTTGCAGAGCCAGAGTATTGCGTTACTTTTCCTTGCGCCGCCAACTCCGGATTGGCGGAGGACAAACGGCCTTGCAGGCGCCAAGTTTCGGGCGGAGCGTGTTTCTCGCATTACGTTTGCGAAAAAACACACCCTGCATTAAAATCGAACGAACTTGAAGGTTCCTTGACCATTGAACATTTTGTGTTGCCACTGGGTACAGTATAATCGCGTTATTTTATAACGCGAGATGGGTTTTAAAACATGTTTCCGAAGTCTGGGAAGCAGACAACGCGGAGGACGATCGCGTCTGCGGCGCACGCGGAGTGATACGCGACCGGCACATCCGGGCACTTCGGACCAGACAACAACGCGTGGCTATGGCCAATGCTAGGGCTTTCAAAGGGACGACGTTTTCATCGGCTGCTACGTTCTACCGATGGCATAGAGAAAAATAGGAGACAAATTACGAGACGACTGCGCACGCGCGGTTTAGTCGCCGCACTATGTCTTCTCTGCTCCGCACGCCGCAGCACGCCGCCTCACAGCTAGACCCAGATCTTTTGAAGAGGCGACGGTCGCTTCCCGCGGATATGAGGTCTCCGCAGTGCGGCCTTGAACCCAACATGGCCGCCCCAGGATCACCATTGCGATTCTCCGCTCCGCAAGCGGAGCATATGCAATTACCACATGACGTCCCAGAGAACGTTTAACCGCAAATTCTCCAGGAGAACGCCACGAAACGTCTTGTCAGTCCTTGTCTCTTCTGCTCTTCCCTTTATTTATAGAACGCCAAAAGAACGAAGGAGTGCGAGATCTTTTAAAACGTTTCGAGTATTCTTGTAAACCAACATGGCCTCCTCGAACATGTACAGCCGAAGGCCCTCGTTAAATCTCCAACTTTGTTGTCCGTGTAGCATTTATGCCTTCTAGCACTGGTGGCATAAGCAGGCTCGACAGGCTTGCAAAGACGGTGTGACCGGAAGTCGCTTGGGACGCAAGCGGCAGTTCATGTTTGACTCCAGCGAACTATAGGGGGCGCGCTGCTCAGGCAAAATGGCGGACGAAAGGAGGTAGTTTTCGTCGTTCAGCACGGGGACCACCACAAATTTCTTGCACTGCAGCGTAAAGTCGGTGTTACATATGAGAGCAAAGCGAGCTATCGACCGTAAAAACCTTCTTCTAGTCAGTGCGTAGGAACGACACGGCGGAAGCTTAGAAATAATTACTTGAAACGATGTTTGTTGTTATGCTGCCTACGAGAAGCAAGCAGCGATAGCAGACGACAGAATCGAAACGACCGCCTCTTTCGAGCTTCTCGTCGTTGCCGCTACGCGGCGTTGATTTCGCTGGAGAATTTGAGGATAGGTTGAGGCAAATGAATGGGGAGCAATGGGCACGAAAGGTTTTCAGCTATTTATACATGAGGAGTGTAGACACAAAGTGGAGACAGCGCACTAGGAAATTAAGAGGAAAGTTTTTGGGCTATAGCGAAGATACGAAAGAGCAAGTCTCAGTTAAGAAGAAAGTTAAGGCCACAGAAAGATATCGGTGGCTAGAGGGAATGCAGACAAAGACGGCTCTGGAAAGCTATAGATTCAACAAAAGAGTTATTGCCAAAGAAAGCATTTATGACAATTATAGGG